CCTATCTACGACTAAGGGTTGTGGGGACTGATTTGGACTTGGCGTGCAAACATGAGACTTAGAGAATTATAGACCGAGGCTGACGTCACGTTTGATACTGCACTTGGCCTTGCCGCATAATGACGTTACGTTAGACCATGCCATGCGATTACTTTACAAATACATACATACATGCACGTGCATGTGTGTGAACGAACAGTTGAATGCGCTTTGACAAACACTGACACAAACAAGAAGGGAACATTTAACTTCCAGGAAACCAAAGTTAGGAGCAGAAAGGAAACGATGTCTGGCCGAGTATTAAAACTAGCCCAATTTCGCGCCTGGATAAGTTAACTTTTAGCTCAAATCCCGGTGGTGACAGTCATTTAGAACTTCAAACTTTCCCCTTTTCAACTCCCTCAACAAATAAAGCTCGAATATTCCTGACTCTTGCGCTGAGCATCACTGAATTTTTTCCTCTCTCCTTCTGGTACATACCATGAACTCAATGATCTACCACAGTACCAGTCAGTGGTTTAAGAATATGCCCGTTCAGCGGCTCCAGCCCACAGTGGATTTGGCCTATGCCAGTCTGTCTCCGTATTTACAATTCAAGCTTTAGCTGTTTTCAAAAGTATCTTCGGGAAAAGGGACTGTCCCGCACCTGATGCTGGTATTTCTTAGGTCGCAAGAACGTCGTTACTTATTGAGTTGAATACGTTTCTCCGTAGCCATGATGCCATTGTTACCATAGAGACGGATATTTGAGACGGTAAACAGGTTGCATGATTGTGCACCACGCCACGAATCCTAAGTTCTCCTAAGCCAGGGTAGGGTGATCATGGTGATGCCGGTCTTGACTGCAATGGTACAGTGTGTCAGTCTACCACGACACGAAGCCAAAGGTCCCCCAGGATGTTGCGTGCGACGGTGTCATGACTAAAATCGAACAGTGTGTCAGTCTAGCCTCAGGGTTTGTTCGCTGATGGCGAAAAATGAAGCGCATCTCCCAAAGAGATGAAAGCGACTATATGTAGATCTACGTAGTGTAAAGGCCGCAGGCGGGGCTGGAGGAGTTGTCTGCATTTCCCATGTACATGTACATAATACCAATGGAGCAACGGTATAGCATTTGTATCATGCTAAAGCCTACACAAACGTCTGGAACTGAATCGCTGCAGTTAGGTTTGTCAGAGTGTGTGTGAAGGTGGCTGAGATTGAACTTCAAGTCATGACTCGCTTTGAGGCCAACATCATAACGGTCTGTGTTCTGGTGACGAAAGTAGCTGTTTTGCTGACACGATATTCCCTCATCTGCCCTGTTTCATGCAGCTCAGTTGCTCTAGTTCTTATCATTCGTCCCATGGACAGCTTTCACGTTAGCCAACTTGACTTTCCTAGCTCTCTTCGAAGTTTCAAAGGTAATACGGAGATTAGAATCGAGCGGCGTGCTAACGTGTAACCACCTTGCTACTGGTCGCGACCACAGCCCAGGAGAGATAGCAATTCTATTCTAGCATCATCGGGTAACCATCCTTGTGCACGCGAGGAGCTGAATCCTCGGCCTCCTGCTGCACTGGTTAGGATAGGTATCTTGCATATCACATCGGCCCACCCATTACGTCCAAAACAACATGCGTATAACTTTTCATGACGGTCGCTTTGATGGCTATGGAAAGAGAGGTTTTACACACGAATCTAGTAAAACAAACGAAAAAATGAAGGTAGGCCGAGTGTTTATTGTTCCAGCCCACGGTGTGCAGCAGAAGTCTCTGCTGCCACAAGGAGCAGAGGTTTCTCCATAAAATATTGAACTTAAGGCCCTCTCGTGCTTCTAAGACAGTTCAGGCATGTAGCCTCAGTTAGTTCACGCATTATGAGAATATACAAGGTGGCGTTAAAACACATTCCAGAGACTTACACGAACTCTGAGAAAGCACTCCGTTGAGTATCACCTTCATGAGCACCCTTGTTTACCGCAATGGCGACCGAAAGACTGGCAGACACTTTCGCCTACCCTTACTGGCAGACTAGACCAAGCTTTAGACCACAATGGCCTAGACTGACTGCACCATTGGTGGAAAGAGTGACAAGGTCTTGTTCAACAACCCTACAGGCTACACGAATGGGACTACAGGAATTGACAGTGACACGCAGACTACACGTTTTTAGACCTGACACGTCTACAGTTGGGGAATGTTGTCCGTTGCGATATGTACCGACTATTAGACTCAGGAAAGTGTGAGCATCCTCACCATCCGCATTGCCTCTCTGTCTTGCATGTGCCACTTGGTCTTGCACTAGGGGTCAGGTCTAGGAAGTCTTGTCTGGGCCACCTACGCGCGCGTGCGTGCGTGTCTGTGTGTGGACGCGTGTGTGTGTATGTGTGACATTGATTACGCTGATAATGATGACGGTCTAAACGTGTGAGACAAGGACGTTTCCGGTGCTCTCACGCATAGAATGCGTGCGAAAAGTCTAGCAAAAACACACAGTCATAATGAACCCGAGCCAAGCGCGTGCCTACACGATCGGCCTGGTACCAGTTCAGGTGACGAGTATGAGGCTATGCTAGTACATCTACACACGCACGGAAAGCAGTGAAACATCATGCACGAATCGCGCATGGGTACGGGGTGTTTCAGTAAACTCTGCACTTCATCATGGTCCAGCTCTCAACAACCACCCAGTTACTAGCACAACCACACAGACAGAGCCTATGCACGTGCGTCCTCTGACCCATTCACCTGTTGCCTTTCGTGGCTGTCGCTTCGCTTGAGCTCTCCGCTGGCGGAACTGGTCCGTCAGTCGGAGCGGACGCAGCCATTTTGGTGCATTCGCTTTAAGAGGCTTCGCTTTCACTCTCCCCTACCACTCTCTATCTTACTCTTTCTCTGGAGTGCGTGCCTCTCCCCTAGCCGATCGGAAGGAAATGCCTGGAAGCATAACGGCTGCGGTGATGAAACTCTACACCATGGCTCGTATCAGTAAAAGCAAGCGATCGACGACTTCTCCATCAAGTACTTCGGAGTATGTAGGAAATGGCCACTGTGAGACCAACAATGGCTCCTACGCTCCGAATGGATTTGGTATGGAAAATGATACGTGTACAGAAAATGATGCGCGAATGCTTCAAGTACCAGTCACCTTGGCACAGGCATTGGCTGCGTCGCGGATGGCGCTTCTCATTTTTGTGCCACTCATCTAGACCACTGTTCGAGTCCTAGGATCCTGGTGGTGGAAGTCAATATTTCTTCAGATTTTCCCGTTTCAACTCCTTCAAATGAAATGCCTGGTACAAGCAAGTATTAGTTCACGTGACGTACACGTATTCACTGCTCTCCTTATACAACGTAGCTGAACTGGCGCAGTGATCGCCGGTGCGGCCGGTGCCAAGTGCGATACTGGCGTTTGTGCGTTACCAGCGGAAAGTCGCGCCGCCAGCCAAGGCCCAAACGAGCTGCTTTTGGCGCTTTGGCAACGAAGCAGGTGATCAGAAACTACCCGTGGTAGCTTAGAGGCAGGGAAGCGGGCAGACTCGAATGAGGAAGCAAGCAAGGGAAGTTGGCGGAGCAGGTTTTAACTTGCTGCTGCTGTGTGCGTGTGTGTGTGTGTGCGCGCGTGTGTGCGTGTGTGTGCGCGCGCGCGTGTGTGCGTGCGTGTACGGTGTACTGTATGATTTTGGAATGAGGATTGTGATCTTGGTCTCCAGTAGCAGCGGTCACACCCCGGGAATAGTACCTGGCAGTGAGTACCTCTTTCATTCTTTGGCTCACTCTAACGTTCCA